TGAGTCTCAATAGTGTAATGTAGGTATGCTCACTCAGAGGCCAAGAGCATAGACTCCAGGCTCAAATCCTGCCCCTGCCTAGTTATCCAATGTCTCTGTGACCTAACTATATACAATGAAGACAACAGTCCTTCCCTCACAGGGTCATTGTAAGGATTACAACGTGCATGAGGCACTGGCATATGCCTGACCCGGAGTAAGCACCCACTAAGGTGTGCACACACAGCCAAGCACTTAGTATGTGCCAGGCACAGCACCTAGTACTTATAAACATCTGTATGAGGTGGGCACCACTGACCTCATTTGACAAGGAAAGAGGCTGTGGTTCAAAGAAGGATGGCCACAAAGTCAAGGTCACCCTGGTAGCAGGAGAACTCCAGACCAAACTCAGCCACCACTCATGGACAAATTAATTGTAACCTGATGCCTCTACCCTAGAGAAATTGGGGGTAGACTCCCACTAAGCTGCTGTCCCATGTGACCCTTGCACCTGGAGGCGCCTCAGACTTCCCCCCCTGCTCCCAGCCTCCCCTGGGGCTCTCTCTGTGCTCTCTCTTCCCTGCCTCCTGCCTGCCGCACCCAGCTGGGGCCTCCTCCGGCTTGGACTGGCCAGGTGCAACCTCGGTGCCCAGCTGTTCAGCCTCTGCCCTCCACCCTTCTTCAAAGAACAACCTCACCCTTCCTTTGCTAAGCCCCTCATCTACCACATCCGCATTCCCGAGGGCCTTTGGCCCAGTTCCTGACTGTGGTGGGCAGAGTTTGAGCATTTGCTCTGACTGTCCAAATCCTGCCCCAATACAGGTGCCTGTGTGGGTGGCTATGACCTTGAGGGGACACATCCATCTAGTGTAAAAGATCGTGGTCCTGTGACCTTGAAATTATGGGTCCTATGACCCTAATTATGTCTTTGCATATGGTGCCACTTTGAATTAAATGTGTGTGTCTGTGTATGTTGGATGTACAGGGCCAAGTGCGTCCACATCATATCCACGCGTGAACCACATCTCCACTGTGAAACACCAGGAGTGTGGCTTGGGGGCTGATCTAGAGATGGATAAATATATCCTATCCTGACCACCTATGTCTCCAACTATGTGTTTAAGTGTTCCCTGGAGTCTGATTTAGGGGGTCCACATCTTAGTGCTGGTCTTAGTCTGGGTTGGTGTCTGCAGCTCTGACTCCCTACAAAATGCCTTATGGCTGAATCAGTGTTTGCCTTGGCTGCATCTGTGCAGACATCTGAATGACTTTGGCCACATTTATGTCCACAACCTGCACATCCACATGTATGACCCTACCATAAATCTATACATCCTTTGTTAAAAATAACTATTAAGCAGTTAGAATGGCCCAGGCGTCACTCACCATGCACACACACCCTGATGTCATCCTTATAACAATCCCCATTTTAAGGATGAGGAAACAGAGGTACAGAGAGCTCAAATAGTTTGCTCAAAGTCTCACAGCTAATACATTTGAACCTAGGGTTAAGGAACCTACCTTCTTTGTCCAAACCCTGTGTGCAAGTGTCTGTGACACCAGATGGAAAACCCACGCTAGAGAGTGAGGTTAGGGGTGGGTGTGTGTGTGTGTGTGTCCATGTTTTAAGTGTCCATATTCAAACACAGTATGAACATGTGCTGTGGTTCTTGAAGCTGCAACCTATGTGTGCAAGTGAATTTTAGCTTAAAGAGCTGTCCATATCTGTATCTAAGTTTGGAAGTCTGGATGTGTGTATATGTATGTCTGTGACCTTGTGTGGCCACATCTGTATCTTGCACTACACACTGAATTTGGCTGAGACATCCAGATTCTGGAGCCAAGACTGTATGTCATGAATATTGAGTGGCCACATCCATTTGGATGTGTGACAATTTAGTGACCTTGAATGACTGGTTCCAAGTGACCACCTGTCTAAATCTGTATCCAATGTCCCTGTCTCCACTCCCAATCACAGAGGACTTCTCGCCCTCTGGTTCTTTGCCCTTCCTCTTTCCCCCAGAGTCCTATAGCAAAGGGATAGGGACAGGGGTCCTGGAGGAAATGAATAGCAGGGACTTAAGAAGTTGGGGACAGACACAGGTGAAAAACAGTAATGAGAGCAGGGTGCAGGAGGCAACAAAAAGGTCCCTGTCCTTTCACCCTTCTCCCAGCAGCCCAGCACGGTGGCAAGTTGCTGAAAGGTGAGGAGTGTGTGCCCCACTCTCAGCCATGGCAAGTGGCCCTCTACGAGCGAGGACGGTTCAACTGCGGTGCTTCCCTCATCTCCCCACACTGGGTGCTCTCCGCGGCCCACTGCTGGACCGGGTATGAAGGCAGGGCTCAGGGCCTGGCTGGAGGGTAGAACTCCCAGGTTTGAGGGTAGGTGGAGGCTAGTGCTGGAACCCTTGGGTTCTAAAGGAGGAAAAGGCTGAAGTCAATCTACTAGTTGGGGGGGGGGGGTCCTGAACGCTTAGGTCCCTGAGGAAGAAGACAGCTATGAGAGTACCAGCCTTTGCTCTCCCAAGGCAGGATGAGTTTAGGGATGTGAGAATCCTGGATTCTGAAGAAAGAAGGCTGGAGCCCAGAGGGTTCAAGCTCCAGGTATGTGCCTGACTTTGACTCCCTGAGAGGCTAGAACCATTGGCTTCAGGGTCTTTGGGGAAGGGTACTGGGATCTCAAGACTCCCAAAGGATCTGGGAGCCCTAGGTTGCCCACTCTTTGATCCTGTCTCCTCCTCACTCCACTGGCTCACACAGCTCCATGAGGGTGCGCCTGGGTGAGCACAACCTTCGCAAGCGCGATGGCCCAGAGCAAGTGCGGGCTGTTTCTCGAGTCATCCCACATCCTCAGTATGAAGTGCGCAGCCACCGCCATGACATCATGTTGCTGCAGCTGGCCCAGCCCGCAAGCCTGACCCCGCAGGTGCACCCTGTGGCACTACCCACCCATTGCCCCCACTCAGGCGAGGCCTGTGTGGTGTCTGGGTGGGGCCTGGTGTCCAATAATGAGACCAGGACCACAGGGCGCCCCAAGTCACAAGGTGAGTGAAAGGACGGAGCTGAGTGTGAGGCCTCAAGGAACTCCAATCTCCAGGGTTCTTGGGTGGAGGGGACAGGGATGGAATTTACAGATCTGCTCCAGCTTCACTATCTTCCCTAGTGAGTCTCCCAGATACACTGCATTGTGCCAACATCAGCATTATCTCAGACACATCTTGTGACAAGGACTACCCCGGGCACCTGATGAACACCATGGTGTGTGCAGGAGCAGAGGGTGGAGGCACAGACTCCTGTGAGGTCAGAGCCCAGAGGGAGCCATCAAATGGAGGAAGAGGGATAGGGACAGGTTTGAGAGTTAGGATGGACTTGAATGTTAGTCATCATTTGCTTTGGGCCAGAGAAGATGCTAGGTTAGGTTTGGAGATGGAAGAGGAAGAGCAGTTGGAATGGGAGTGAAGCTAGAGTTGGGGTTAGAAATGAGGATAGCGTTGCGTTATGTTGGGGATGGATGGTGTGGCAGTCGGTTTGGAATGGCATGGGTTGGGGTTGAGAATGGGAATAGGTTTGGTCTGGGTTGGGATGGGAAATATGTTGGGATTGAATCGGAATGGGGTAAATTTTGTTTGAGATACAGAAGATAGGAAGATTGGGATTGGGTTGTGAGGATAGGCATGGGTTTGGTTTGACTATGAATGGGGATTGGGCTGAGTTGAAATTGGGCTGAGTACAATTGAGTTGGGATTGTACAGGGGTAAGGTTGGACGTGGATCAAGTGAGTTAGTTGTGTTGAGGTTAGGTGGGATTGGTTGTGGTTGCATTGGGCTGTGTTCAGTTGGGTTGGGATTACCCAGGGTGGGGATGCATTGGGTTTTGGTTGCAAATGACAATGGGGATGGGCATACTGGATCTAAGAAGTTCTTACTCACCCTGAGACCCTTCTTCTCTCCACAGGGTGATTCTGGGGGACCCCTGGTCTGTAGGGGTGTCTTGCAGGGCATTGTGTCCTGGGGCGACGTTCCTTGTGACACCACCACAAAGCCTGGTGTCTACACCAAAGTCTGCAGCTACTTGGAGTGGATCAGGGAAGTTATGGAGAGGAACTGACTATTTTGGCCTATCTTCTGTGTCTCTGACTAAGCAGGAGCACCCATGCCTGGCCAGCAGCCCTGTCCTCACTGGAACAGAATTAAGCCATTCCTCAAGACCCTATCCAAGGCCCAGGTGTTAGCCAAGGACTTGTCCCACCTGAAGGCAAAGCTAGTGCTCAAGGTCACCTATTTAACACCAAGATAACAGAGAGCACTGATCCAAGTTTCTCTATAAGAGTTTCTGTGACTTTCTTCTAAAAATGAAGGGAAACTGAAGACACAGATTGGGTGGGAAACCCAGAGACACTGCACACTGTTCATTTTCACCCATGGCCCTAATCCTAAGGGAGGGGAGGAGAAAGGGCCTGAAGCAGAGATCTCTTCTTTCAACATGTATGACCAGCCACATGATCTTGAACAAGAGGCCCAAACTCATTCAGCTGAGGTCTCTCCATATGTAAAATCAGGATCATCATATTGTATAATTCATAGGGTTGCTATGGGATTAAATGATGTAATTCACATGATTATTCTAGAATAGCATCTGGCATTAGATAAATATTCTGTATCTCTGGATCCCAGTGAAAAGACTGACCAAACACTAGATTACCAAGAATGACTTTTTCAGCTGGGCATGGTGGCTCACACCTGTAATCCTAGCACTCTTGGGAGGGTGAGGCAGGTGGATTGCTTGAGCTCATGAGTTCAAGACCAGCCTGAGCAAAAGTAAGGCCCTGTCTCTACTAAAAATAGAAAAACTGAGGCAAGAGGATTGCTTGGGCCTGAGTTGGAGGTTGCTGTGAACTATGATGCCATGGCAATCTACCCAGGGCAACAGCTTGAGACTCTTGTCTCAAAAAAAAAAAAAAAAAGAGTAACTTTTTCTTCAAGATTTAGTTCTGGGCTTCCTCACAATCACGGCAAAAGGCAAATGCCCTCCTTTCCTTAGCTAGGTTCTGGGCATACAGCAGACCCTGGGACCCTTTGAATTGCTTTGATTTTACCAAAAAGCCAAGATAACATGTTGGAAGTCTGTGGGTTTACCATTGAAACTGCAGGGTAAGGAATCTAGGTCCTAATTGGAATTTGTGGTTAGGATAATCTTTTTTATTTTTGGAGACAGAGTCTCATTTTGTCATCCTGGGTAGAGTGCTGTGGCATCATAGCTTACAGCAACCTCCAATTCCTGGGCTCAAGTGATTATCTTGCCTCAGCCTCCCAAGTAGCTAGGACTACAGGCACCCTCCACAACATCCGGCTATTTTTAGAAGAGGTCTCACTCTGGTGCAGGCTGGTCTTGAACCTGTGAGCTCAGGCAATCCACCAGCCTCAGCCACCCAGAGTGCTAGGATTACAAGTGTGAGCCACCTCGCCAGGCAGTTATGATAATCTTGACCTGGGAAGGCAGATAGTCCAAATCTCTGGGACTTTGGAGGACATGACCTTGAACACCCACATCTGGGGAACAAAGAGTGGAAAGGTCACTAGGACTCTGAAAATTGTTTGAGGGGGGTTCAATCTTATAATGCTAAAAACTTACCTTAGGAGACCCCTGAAACTTCATATTCTTGTATCTGGGGCCACTAGGGTTGTGGTGATATGTACCCCAAAATATTATGAAAGGAGCAACAACTCTGGGAACCTAGATCCTGGGTCTTCAAGTGTAAGAATCAGGGCGTTATGAAAGGCAAGGCTTAGATTTTAGGAGGGTTGACAGCTAAGTTGGTGTCTTGTCTCTGAGTGGTACAGGGAGAGGCTGCCAGGTCTTGGGGTTCAGGGCTTACTTAAGGCTTAGGTATATGGGGCTTTTACTGGCGGTCAATGATTCCTCCACCCTTCTGCTTCTGTTCCTTCCCACAACCTCCCCCACGCCCACCTCTCTGGCTCTGTCCCCCAGAGCAAAGCCCCAGGAGCTACAGGTTCTGCCCCACCTGGCCTCAGCCCCAGGAATGCATCCAGCGTGATCCAGGCCCACAGAACAACAGGTGCTGCTCTCCCTCCCTGTCACAGCTCTGGGGACAGGAGGGGCTGTCCAGCCCCAGGCAACAGGGGCAGGGCCTTGGCCAGCATCTGGTGCCAGCAGGGCAGGGGTGGGACTTGGGGAGGGAGGGAAATGAGGGCTTTTAAAAGGCTCCCCAGCTCCTATCTCACTGCCTGCCTGCCCCTGGACACCTCTGTCACCATGTGGTTCCTGGTTCTGTGCCTCGCCCTGTCCCTGGGGGGAACTGGTGAGACAGTGGGGGGAGGTGGGAAGGGGAGCAGCTCCTCTCAGGCTGCCCTTGACCCCGTAAGTCCTTTCCCTCCAACCCGTCAGCCTGCAGTCTTTCCCAGACCAGGGTGACTCTTGCAGCCACCCCCAAATCCCACCCCACAGTCTGCATGCCCACGGTAGGTCCCTGCGTCCTCCCAGGAACCCTCCATACTCTCTCCTCTTCCCTAGTCAGGTCCCTGCCCCTACCGCTTTCCCAAAGGGGCAAGTCTCAGGCCATCTCTGTCTCTCTCTTTGGAGGATCCCAACCCCACCTGACCCTGGGACCTTCCTACCCCTAGTTCTCTGTGGCCCAATGGTCTGGCTTCTGAGTCCACAAATCCCACCACACCCCAACCTCAATGTCTTTTTCCATCCAGCTGTTAGTTCTCAACTGTGTCCTCCAGACCATAACATTTGGTCCCCCTAATCCTCCTAGGTTCCCCAAATTCCACCATCCAACCTTCCTTCCCAAGTTGATGTGTGACACCAAATGGGTCCCCAGCTGACAGGAAATCTGCAAATGCCCCTTCCTTTTCTGTCTAAAACCCCACCCACCACCCCCAGCTCTTCCAGAAAAACAACTAAGCCTTCCAACCACATGCTCCTTTCCATGTGGAATTCCCATCCCTCCCCAACCTGAATCCCTCCTGCACAGCTTGGGGTTTTGGGGGTCCCACCCACAGGATCCCAAACATCTTCCCTGCCAGCCATCCTGCCCCAAGTACAGCAATATGTGATTCTAAAATCTCACATCAAATGGGTCCTCCACCTGTTCACACAACTGCTTGGCCCCTGTTTTGGCCACATCTCCATCCTTGTCCTAGAACTGCCACCAAGAGAACTCCAATCCCTCCAGTACCCTCAGACCACGACCCTACCCATGAGAAACAAGGAGACTGTCCCTCAGCCCATCCTTCTTCATAAGCCCTGTCCTAGTCCTTACCCCTACCCTGTTCTCAGAGTTCCTACCTCTTAGATTGCCACTATTGGGTTACAGTAAGGACGCCAAAACCTCACAACCCAACCTCGACTCTAACCATTTTTTACCCTTTAACATGGAAACCCCAAGATCTTTTTCAGCCCAGCTGACCCTCTGCAGCCCCAATCTAAAAACTCCAAACTATACCCCAAGCTCCCCAGCACAGAGGCACCACTTGATCTCGCAGGCCCGGTTCTCTAAAGCTGCAGTCTTTCCTCAACCCCAAAAGCCCACCCCGGGCACAGCTGTTTGCCCAGCCTGGGAGCCCTTAACCCAAATCCTTCCTTGGATCCTCTCCTTTGGGGCCTTTATCCCCTTCTTTCTGGAAACGCTTTTCACTCTCCTAACCTATTGCCTCCCATCCCCCAGTCCAAGACTCCAAATCACCCAAATGACCTGACCCCCAACCTGACCCATGCTCTAGACACTGTATCTCCTCTCCATCCCTGGACGGGTCTACTCTGCACTCCCCAAAAAGTCTTCCCTCCCAGGACCAGCCACCAACCCACAAGCCCAGGAACAGTTCGAGAACTCCAGAACCTTCTCAGCACCCCTTGCCTCTGCCCCCACATCCTGCTAAGCACACAACTCCCTCCCCTAGCCCAGTCCCCTGCTCCTCTTGCCAACTCCACCTTCCCTGACCCTGCACCGGCCCCTGCCCTCCTGCAGGTGCCGCACCCCCCATCCAGTCCCGGATTGTTGGAGGCCAAGAGTGTGAGAGGCATTCCCAACCCTGGCAGGTGGCTCTGTACCATTTCAGCAACCCCCAGTGTGGGGGCATCCTGGTGTACCCCCAGTGGGTGCTCACAGCTGCCCACTGCATCACCGAGTGAGTTGGGGATTGGGATCTAGGGAGGCTGCTCCCATAGGACTGAACAGCCAGTGCCATTCCCCTTGGGTAACCTCAGGTGAGGCTGTGGGACTAAGGGAGAGAAGGAAAGTTCTGGTCCAGGTGCATGGGAGGCGGAATGGCAACTGGCCACCCTGTTATGGCTGCCTGGGACTCTCTCTGGGTCTCCACGTCTTTCCTTAACTGTCTGTGACTGTGTTTCAGTATGTCTTCCACTCTGTCTTCATGTCCCTGTGTCTCCCCTGTCTCTGGGTCACTCTGTGGTCATCTCTGTCACCATGTGTCTCATCTTCCATTTATATGACCATCTCTCTCCCCCTGGGTCTCTGTCCCACCCCTCCTTTATCACTACAGAACACACACCCAGGAGAGGGTATGTGAGGGGGCGTCTCTTACTGCCCAGCCCCCCTCAGGATGTCAGTCCACTCAAGGGGAGACAGAGAGGACAGGTTTCAGCCAGAGTTGGGTGGGGCCATTGCGAGAGGAGGAAGAAGAGGGACCTATAAACCGGGTAGGATGCTGGGAGGGAAGGGAGGAGAGTGCTGGGAGGCAAGGGGGAACTTGACCTTGGGCTGTGGGCCAGGCCACCCGCCCTCTAGGGAGCCTGCACTGCCGCAGCAGCTGAGCCGCTCTCAGGCCTCCCGTCCCCAACCCAGGCCCTGCCCCCTTTTCCTTCTCACACCCTGACTCCTGGCTTCCTCTCTGCCCTGTCCCTCATTCTCTGACTTCCTGTATCCCTCTGTTTCTCACACCTTCCTTGTTCTGTTCTCTCCTTCCTCTTCCCTGTATTTTTTGCTATCTCTGGCTTTTCTTTCTCATCTTCTTTTTTGTTCCCTCTTACTGTTCTGTCCTGAGTGTTTGTTTTCACTGTTTCTGTCTCTCCATCTGCCTTTTTCACTCTCAAATTCTTCTTTTCTCACTCCCTGTATTTCTCCAGAACTCTTTCTATCTCTGTCTCCCCACATTTAGTTCTAACAATTATCAGCTCTGGCTGGGTCGCCACGACTTGTTTGAAGATGAAGACACAGCCCAGTTCATCCATGTCAGTGAGAGCTTTCCACACCCCCAATTCAACATGAGCCTTCTGCAGAACCACACCATCACCAAAGATGAAGACTACAGCCATGACATCATGCTGCTCCGCCTGAAGGAGCCCGCCCGGATGACAGAGGCTGTGCAGACCCTGCCCCTGCCTACGCAGGAACCCGAAGAGGGGAGCATCTGTTTGGCATCTGGCTGGGGCAGCATCGAACCAGAAAACTGTACACAGGGGCCAATTGTTCAGCCTGGAGGGGGGAGAAGAACTCCTGGGTCTGAGGGAGAAGGATCCAGGTGGGATCTCTCCTCAGCCCTTTTTCTTCCTGTTTCATAGTTACATACCCAGATGAGCTCCAATGTGTGGACCTCAAAATCCTGCCTAATGATGTCTGTGTCAAAGCCCACATCTCAAAGGTGACAGATTGCATGCTGTGTGCTGGGCACTTGGAAGGCGGCAAAGACACCTGCCAGGTGAGCCAGTACATCCCCTTAGGATCTTGAAGGGCCAGGGAAGGGGACTCAGCTTCTAAACTGGGTCCTGAGAGCTAACCAGGGTCTGTCCTTAGTGACTCCATTCCCTCCTGACCCCTGCCCTTCCAGGTACCACCTGCAGCTCACCCCCTCACATCTTAGTTCACCTGCTCCTCCCTTTAACACATATTTACTGTCCGAGAAAGCTTCCTGGAGAGGTGGTCTCTGAGATGTGCCCTGAGGGAGGTGCATGGAGGTCCTGTGGATAGTCTTGCTTTTCCTGCTGCTGACCTGTCTGCCAGGACTATCCTCCTGGACCCTCCTGCCCCCTGTACAGGAGCTGAACCCTGAAATCCCTTCTTCATTAGCCAAGACTTGAGCCACTGCCCCTCTGTTGGAATCCCTGCTGACCTTCTTCTGGGGTGTCTGAGAGCTAGGGCTCTGCAGGCAGAACCCAAGCCCTGCTGTCTCTTCTCATTCTCTCTCCTCCCCCTTGTGTTCCCAGGGTGACTCAGGGGGCCCGTTAGTCTGCAGTGGCGTGCTCCAAGGTATCACGTCGTGGGGATACATCCCATGTGGCAGCCCCAATAAACCCGGGGTCTTTACCAAAGTGCTGAAGTATATTGACTGGATTGAGAAAACCATCGCAGACAACCCCTGAATGCCCAGCCAGTCCCCCAGCCTTAGTAAAATTGAATGTGCATCAAATGTGCCTCACGTTCTGGGATCATCTGACCCTCTAGACTCCGGACTCCTGAATGCTTAGAACCCAATTGGCTGAAGTTAGAGCTGCCTCAGCTATACCAAACTTGTGCTTAGAGGCTTGTAGTCCTGAGCAAGTGGAGGGAGGGCAGAAGGAAGGGGCCATGACAGATGTAGACAAACAGTCAGGGAAAGGTACAGATCTCAAAGACAAGTCAGGGAAGCCAGACCACTTCACTCAAGCTGGGCCCTGGGGGAAGGTGGGACAGTAGAGGGTGGGATGATAGATGTGGATAGCCCCACATTTTAATGTGGTGGGAAGGCCAGAAAGGGATGGACAGATATTACAAGCCATGCCTTCTGGGGCAGGGCTAAATATCCACCTGGCAGCAAGAGTGGATATCAGGGCAGGTCTGGAACTCTGGGAGAGGGATTCTGATGCAGACAGCCCTGGCTGAAATGACAGAGAATGGTTCCAGGCATGGCCTGCATGGGTTGGGCACCCCGGGACGGGGGTCACAGAAACTAGCCCCCTACTGGGGTTCAGTGGAGCTGGACAAGTGTCTGCTCAGAGTAGGCAGAACAGGATAAGGGTGTCTCCTGGCATGCTGGCACTGTTAGAACACTACACAGGGGCAGAGCCAAAAAGGGCGGGGCCTACAGCCATGGTTGAGGTTTATCACCTGCTCTCTGAGGATGTGGCCTGTTCTAAGGCAGAAGGGCCTCAAGGGAAGTCTAATCTTGGGAGCATGGCCATACAGATAGGGCCAAGCCAAGCATCTGGCTATGGCTACAAGTCAGTGTCCTGTCCAGTGCTATTCCTTGGGGAGACTAGGGGACTCGCCCCAGGTGGTACATAAATTGGGCAGGTACAGGATGCGCTCAGGGCTCCAATACTTCTGAGTTCCGCGGTGTGGACATGGACCTTGGGATACAATGCTCCAAGGCCCACCGGCGATGGCTTAGCCGCCGCTCTGTACTGGTCATCTTCTTGCTCCACATGCCCACTTGGTTTAAGTAGGACAGAGCCCCTGGAGGAGAGGGCTAGGTGGGTTGCTGGACTTGGAGCCGGCCCTAGGCCCCGCCCCAGGCCACATTCCCACAAGTGTCCCCTCGAGGTCCGCCCCCATCCAACCCAAGGCCCCGCCTCTTGTTCTCCCCCAACCCTGAGATCCGCCCCCTGCCCTGCCGAGGTCCCGCCCCTTCCTCCTAGGGCCCCGCCCTCACCAGCCCACAGCATCAAGGCGCTGGCACACCAGCAAAGGTAGAAGGTCACCAGGTAGGATATCTGTGGCCTCGGGTGCACTGTTTCACAGTTGACTGCGAAGAGCGTCAGGCTGAGGGAAATCAGGAGCCCTGTACTGGGGTGGGGCCAGAGATGGACAAAGGGCTAGACAGTGGCTCTGTGACCCCCAGCAAGAGAGACAGAGACACCCTCTCCCACACACCATGTCAGGCACAGAGAAACAGCCACGTGTGATAGAAAGAAAGCCGCTAAGAGAAGCTGGAGGGGAGGGAGGGAAACAAAGTGGGAAAGAGAGATTACCTGCCTCAACTGAGAGAATGGAACTGAAGTAAACGCAGAGAGCTGGCCCAGATTCCAAGAGACATTAGGAAACAGAGACCTGGCAGACAGCAGGGCAGAAAGTCTAGATATCTCTTCTCAAAGCCAGAAGAGATGCTAGGGGTAGGGACAGTGCCCCCAAACATACCCCAAGCCAACACTTACCAATGCTGATGCTAAGGAAACTGAAGACAAAGTCCACCTTGCTCAGGCGGCGGAAGACTGGCCGGAAGGAGAGACCCATGGCAGGGAGAAGGAAGAGACACAGCCCCAGGGCCAGTAACATGAAGCCTTTGCTCATATGGATGAGAACTGGGAGAGGAAGGACAAGTGACCTAGAGTCATCCCAAGTACTCCTCAAGGGCACCCTCCAAAGTCACTCCCACTGAGCAACCCAACATCCCCAAGTCTAGCCGCAGAAATCCTCAAAATCACCTCTACTCACATCACCAAAGTCAGTCCCTAGAAACCCCAAAACAAATCCACTCTCACTCACAAAGTCACCACCAGGCACGTCCTAAAGTCAACTCAATGTCATCTCACTCACACCCTCAAAAGTTTCCCCATACCATCCATATTTACTTTAAACCCTTAGACACTCATAATCAACCCCACACATATCCCCAAGATCACCCCCAAATCACACCCATTTACATCCTCAAGGTCACCCCATAAAACCATCTCAATCATTTCCAGAGTCATCCAGACACCCCCAAAGTCACCCCATTCATATTCCTAAAAGACAGCCCACAGCAACTCACATTAATACTATGAGTGTTACTCCCAGACAACTCCACAGCATCCTCAAAGTTATCCAAGCCACCTCAGTCATCCCCAGTCATCTCCAAAGTCACTTTTCTTCTGCTATTTTCTCTCTCAGTCATACCCCAAGATTCTTTAGTAACCCCATTCATATGACCAGAACCTCCCCAGACATTCCAATGTCACCCACATTCATACCCTACAGCCCCTAACGAGCACACACACAGATGTACATGAGAAAAACTTCCTAACCTAATACTCTAAAACCAATGTGCCCAAAAGCTCAGTTCCAGTTTATAACTGATAACTTATCCAATTTACAGTTCCAGTATGACGAGTGTTTCAGCTCCTTCTGAGGATTACATCTCCTCCTTTTAGCCATTTTTCTACTTTGTTTACTTTGGAACTGCACTGTTTTAGTCAAATGAGCTAAGCTTTCATCTGCTTTGTTCCTGGCAAACTGCATATCTCTCTAACACGTAACAAGAAAGTGAAAATTTCATCTTACGTATAGAAAAGCAATGGCACTTTCAGCATTGAGGGAAAGGCCAGTCCCCTTGGTTCTTTCTGCTCATAGGAGAGTGAAGAAACAGAGGTCAAGGAGAAGGGACAGAGCCAGAAAACAGGACCATGAATGGAGAATTTGGGTGCCATCCAGCAGCCTGTCTCTTGGGAGAATACCCTCCACTCCACTCACATAATTCTGGTTGAGGGCTTCTCATGGCACATCCTCCCCTCTGTCCCACAGAGGTAGACATAGGACTCAGGCTGAGCCAATCACTGTGCCTCTCACTCTGGCCCCTGCAATAGGCCAGAAGATGGGCACATGACCAAAGCTAACCAATCAAGGCCTGGAGGAAAAAGCCTTGAGCCTGCCCTGGGACTTCTAACCAAAGCAGTCAGGGAAGGGCTCTCACTCCTCTGGTTAAGAGAGTTTGTAACCCTGGACCCAGCCTCATAGGCACAGAATTAAAAGTAAAATTAAGAAGGAAAAGCTGACAAGAGAAATTGAGAATGAGCACTGAGATGATATTAATGTTCCTGACTCTGATCATCCCAGAGACTAGCCCACTCTGTGGTTTGGTCAGGATGAGTACACATTCCAGCTCACCTCCTCCTTGCCTTTTGGGGTCCTCCTACTCATTCCACATTCTCTGCCCAACATATTAGCTAATCAGCACACTGAAGTACTTTGGCCTCATAATTAGTTCAGGGTGTCTAGGTGCCTCAGCTGCAGGGGGCTTTTGTAAGAACTGTTGATACACACACACACATATACACTTTTTTTTTTAATTAGACTTGGCAATTATTAGCAACTCTGCCAAGTTTTAACAGCTCTACTAGTTATTGTCTGTCTGCTCTCAAATTTATTCTCCACCTTGCCCTGTTCTTTGTTGCAAGGTGGTGTTACATTTCTCCACCTCCTTTGCCTACAGGCCTATTAATGTGTATCCTAGTGGGAGAAACTGACTGAAGATGGCTCTGGAAAGAGGGGTCAAGCTCAGGTACTTATTTCTCTCTCTATTTAGGCCTCTGGTGTGCCTTCAGTAGTAGCAATCTCTTGCTTGATTCTATCCTCTTCTAAGCAAATCCAACCATGATCTATGCCTTCCAGAAAGCCCTTTCTAGGCTATAGTAATACCATCTCTTTGTCCTTCTGGCTAAGGGGAGCAGCAGCTTCCTATACTTTCTAATACCTGGTTTTCCTACTTCTCAGATCTTCTGTTACCCATGAAACCAACTCCCTATATTTACTGCCTCCTGAAGAATCTAGAATGATTTGTTTTCTAGCTGAATCGTGACTTGCCACAACATAAAGCCTTGAGAATGAAGTCAACTGAAGTAACCAAGAAACAGTGATATCTGAAGCTATCACTTGGACCCTGAATCCAGCCAAGCCTGAAACCTTTCCTACGTTGTAAGAGATAAGCACCCTTTGCCCAGACATGGCAGTTCGTTTCAATGTGCTCTCCCTGGAGATTGATTCTGAGAAAGATTTCTTTGAAGATCGAGCTTCTGTACCTGCCTATAGATATGCAGAAATATGCAGAAAGACTCTCTTGGTCAGAAATTCTGGAGAATTAGCCGGGGTCACAGCTGAAAGTAAACAAACCTGTTTTTGAGCATTGGGTTCCGTTCTCTGTCTTCCCCCTTCATTAACATTATAATCTCTAGTTTCGGTTTGAGCTAAAAAGAACAGCCAGCCAGTCTGCTTTATTTTTTACTCTAAACAAAATCAATTGTATATGTGTTCCTCAGCCTTCACACTGAATTATAATCTTAAATGGTAGCTTCCTAATGTTACTTCACTTCTTTGTATATGTGTTAAATTCTTACATTATGTTTGAAAGTATATAAGATAATCAGTAAAGTTTAGCCAGGCCGCGGACCAGAGCGAGTCTCGGCCTCCCTTCAAATCAATCATCCCGTCTGCAGTTTCTTCTCTCTGCATCTCCGATCAGAGGGCTCCAAGAACACTTTCACTATGTCTACCATTTTTCACTCAGATGATCCCATAAATTTCTTAAGCTAGTTCAAGTTAGAGTTTCTGTCACTTGTGCCCCAAGACTCCTGCTTAATTCAGGTCCCCTCCTTAGGTCAGCAGGGAGCACAGAATTCAATATTCTCCGCAT